TCTTTTAAGAATAGTATTTGTTGCTTACTGGAATTTATTCCGTTTTCACCCATCCTATATAATCACGATCGAATTCATCAGACCTACAAATTCAAAAAGAAAACAGAAAATATAACTCCGGGTATAAAAAACAAAATTTCTGTGGGAGTGAAAAAAACAATGGTGAGAGGGAAATCTATGAAAGCTCTAAAGGGAGGTGTAACTGAAGAAGAAGAAGAAGAAGAAGAAGAAGAAGAAGAAGAAGAAGAAGAAGAAGAAGAAGAAGAGGAAAAGCCTTTATTCTATAGGGGTGAAGAATAACATTTAAAAGAGAGAAATTTTAAAGAGAGAAGTTAATAACGGTTTAAATGAGTGAGATATAGATAAATATGAATTATTATCAGTTGCATAAATCACTGGAATACTAGAGCTTGAGACTTTTATATTGTATTCTTGCTCTGCCTTTTACATAGAGCTCTACCTGGATTTTATCCTCTTGATAATATATATATATATATATATATATATATATATATATATATAAGTAATAATCCGTTGGTATATCATCCAAGTGAATCCTAGTAATATAAAATATTAAAACTGATCCACAAAAAGAACTCACTGTATTTATTATAACAGAGCATATAAATTACATAGAAAAGAAATGCAAATTTACCTCATTCCAATAGCTATTTCAACCAACAAGTCCCATGTTGGCATTGTTAACTCAGAAGTGTAGAGGAATAAAATAGCAACTTAAAATTTAAACATTTAAAAAAAATAAAAAGATATACAAGAAGAAGGAGAAGAGAAAAAGGAAAAAAAAGAAAATTTTAAATTTTTAAATTTTAAGTCTTATGTTGGCATTATCGACTCAGAAGTCTGAAGGAATAAAATACTATATTTCCTTGTCATAGACACCCACAGACAGCCTGTTTCGGTGTATCACAGTCTTCAGTGTGGCTAAACGTCCCCTTGCCTCAAATGGGGATCGAAACCCGACCGATTTGGTATGTCAAAAATTCTACCCCAAGACTATCGTCGTACAGTAGAGGGAAAGGGAAGTTTTAACGTTTCCTATGTGAAATACGTCAGTATATATATATATATACCCAAGTATAGGATTGGTGTATACGGAATAAATTCCAATAACCAACAAATACTTTTCTTAAAAGAGTGCTCAATACAGAGTAGAGCAAATATAATTCATTCAAAAATTATAACATAAATATGTTATAAAATCACTACAAAAATAGCCATTTTGTTTAAACAATTCTAGTGTCGTATCAAGTGATGGTGTCGAATGTAGAATAAAGGATTTTAAAAGGTTCAAATCAGTCAAACCCCTCGCTAGGGGAAACGCTGTTACATAAGCTGGAATGATCAATCAAAATACAAGTATATGAGAATTCAAAAAACTTGACAACGAACTTAAATTATAATAATTATTTAATGCTTTAATGTTACGGTTAGACTAAAATAGAATTCATTCTAACTAATAAATATTAGATTATATGATAAAATTTGAAATTATAAATTACCCATTTTAAAATTTAAGTTTAATGTATATTAATGTTAAAATTATAAAATTACTGAGGAAAATACATGTGTTATTCTATTTATTTTGATTTTATTGAAATTAATTTGGAATAAACGTTAAGATCAAATGTTGCTCTGAACTTCATGACAACATAGATACATTTGAAGCATAAACAGAGGAAGGGGAGGATAACATCTTGTAAAAGACAATACATACACAATCAGATTATCATACATAAACACACAGACATATTTAGATATATGTACACACACAAAAAGCGACGAGACAGGAAATATCTCCACGACACTTAAAAAAAAAAACACAACATACATACACAATGAAAGGTACACACAAGTGACCATACACACAGACACCAACAAAGACACGTACATACACACACATACATTGACATAGACACGCCGATACACCTACCAAGAAATATTCAATTTTTAAAGTGTTATTAAACAAATTTTAACCACTTATTAAAATGTAACTTATACGGGCATATATATAGAGATAAAAATAGTAGAATAGATAAAATTCAACATGGGCAGAAAAAAAAACATTAGGGAAAGAAAAGACATTAACACAGATAGACACGGACAGAAAAATAGATATATATTTATAAAATAATACACACACATACACAAACATAAACACATTACACATATATATATATATATATATATATATGTTTGTATATATACACAGCTTTTCTGTGTTTCTGTCTGTAATGAAGAAAAAAAAATACACACATATGTCTGTATGTGTTTTTATTTTTTTCACCTAGAAAAAAATATTTTTTGTACAGACAAATTTATATGCACTAGTGTGTATATAGGTATATATGAAATATATTTTTATATATATTTGTTTTGAAGCATTTATATATATATATATATATATATATATATATATATATATATATATATATATATATATATATATATATATATATATATATATATATATATATATATATATATATATATATATATATATATACACATACACATAAAATACATATATATTCATATATATATATATCCAATATATATACATATATAACATATATAAATATATATATATATATATATATATATATATATATATATAAACATACAAACATACATGCATACACATTTTGTATTTATACAAACAAACACGTTTTATATATAAAAACACATACAAAAAGAAATTTAAATATACACACATATATATATATATATATATATATACACACACACACACATATATATATATACATACATATATATATATATATATATATATATATATATATATATGTATACACACACATTTACATACACATATACATACATAAACCTACACATTCTAACAATATTATCTTAGTGGCGATAAAATACAGTAAAGTCCATACAATATTAAAATGCAACGAGACAAAATTGTTGATTATTATGTCTATAAGCAATTATAAAACAATTATCAAACAAAAGATTTTAGTTAGCACTGATGATATATTCCAATACACTAAAATATACATACGTATATATATACGAAGACATACGCACATTCATCTACATATACATATATATAAACATGTATAAATACCCATATATGCACATCCACATATGCACATATATAAGTACGCACACATACACGCGTATATATATATATATATATATATATATATATATATATATATATGTTATGTCACGAACAATTTTAAGGGAAAGAAGTATGACAGTGTGTAAAAAAGTTTACCCATGATATGTTTCGTCCTGTAGGGATTCATCGGACTAAATTCATGTTTCAGCTGATGCGACTGCACATGCGCGTGAAGGAAAAGGGACGCTGAGAATTTTAGAATTTGGATTATCAAACTGTAGTTTATAGAAATACTCATATTTCTTTATAGATAATAATGTTCACCTAAGACAATAACCATGAGCCACTCAAGTTAGAGTTTAAAGTCCGTTGAGAAGACAGATCCTTGCCTTATGCCCTGTTCTATTTTTGTATATTTACTGCATTCATTTTCCATCCGTATTCAGCCGGCTTGCTGTCTGTAAAAATTTTCGATTATTGTAATATTTCTCCTATTGTTTCGTTTCACAGAATATGAGGACATCCCGCATATATATTGCAACTTTAGTATTTGGCCAGAAAGTTCTGTCTTTTTATGAAAAAAAAAAAAAAACACTAAAATTTTATTCATCAAAATAAAGTCCATCATTCGCTGCGATCTTTTGTCAGCCATCAGCTATCATCCAGAATCTGTCCCAGATAACCAGTCCGCTGGCTTTGAATAAAATTCTGTAAACAAAACTTATTTCATTTGATGAAAAGTGTTGATTTGTATGGCCTCGGATATAAGTGTTATTGACCAGAATATTTTTTTTCACTCATCAAATTGAAACTGAATGGTGGATATGGAAAAATCTCAGTACCGTCCATCTGTTTGAACTTTGAACTTCTTAGTCAAACTGGTAGTGTGTCACCTCACATTTCCTTGCCGATACAAAGTCCAAACTCGATAGACCAAAGCAGGATTCTCTTTTAGATTGTCGTACACGCGGTCTATTTGCTGCCAAATTTTAATACTACTTCATTCCACTCTTTCACTTCCCGTAGACTCTTGAAGTAATGAATTAGTATTAAAATGTCGACATTAAAACAAATTCAAATTTCCATGAAATAGGTTTTACTTTATGAGCTACTGTATTCTCAAACTATTCAAATGTTGAATGTAAAACCGCTTTTATTCCTACCTTAATTTTAAATTAACACTTCATTCTTCATATAACCCTAATTTAATGACATGAGCTTAATATCCGGGTTTAATTTTATAAAAACTTTAAGACTATTGCTTTCCACCCTATCCTGACCACTCACTTGAGCCTTTCGTCTGATTGAAACATTGAAATGGATAAATTCTGCATTAGTATTTCCAACATTTTTTTTTTTTAGCTTTCATAGTTAAATTTCTAATTTCGACACGTACTAAGTCTATACCGAGGTTGAATAAGACAGATAATTTTTTTTTTTCGTCGGTTGAAATATGCATATGAGATGATTTGGGATTTTATTGTTTATTTATTATATATATATATATATATATATATATATATATATATACACACATATATATATATAACTACACACACACACACACACACACACACACACACAATACACATATATATATATATATATATATATATATATATATATTTCTTTATTCTTACTTCCTGCTAATGCAATATCCTTTTAATCGTTTCCTTCCTAATTTTATCTATCAATCTATGAATAAAGGTGTTCATTATCTAACTATCTATCTATAATCTTAAAAATATCATAAAGATTTGCCATATATATATATATATATATATATATATATATATATATATATATATATATATATATATATACATTTAAAATAGAAATATCTATCAAATTTTCTCTCATTTTTTCTCTGTCTTACTTCCCCTCCTCATTTTTGTCTATCTATCTATCTATCTATCTATCTATCTATCTGTTTTCACCCACTTCAATGCACTATCCTACCCATCATCTCCTCGTCACAACTGATTTACCCCCTGCTGCCTCATTATCAATCAGTTTTGTTGGGCGTATAAGTATTATACAAAGGGAATATCCCCCACACAATAGAAATTTTCCAATGAGAATTATTTTCATGCTATTCCATACTATTCATTTCGGTTTTTTGGATGGGCCAAATTATATCTATACGTCAATATCTATGTATATAGTTTTTGATCTTCGTCATATCTATCTATCTATCTATCTATCTATGTCAGTATATTCATATCTATAAATCTGTCTATGTTCATTATCTATGTTAGTGTATTCATATTTATCAATGTCAGTATATTCATTATCTATCTATCTACCTATCTATCTATGTCAGTATATTCATATCTATATATCTATCTATGTTCATTATCTATGTTAGTATATTCATATCTATCTATGTCAATATATTCATATCTATCTATCTATTTATCTATCTATCTATTTGTCTGTCTGTTTTACTCAATTTCAATGCAATGTCTTTCCCATCGTTTCCTCTCCTCACCTTTTCTGTCTGTCTATCTATCTATCTATCTATCTATCTATCTATCTATCTATCTATCTATCTATCTATCTGTTCTCATTGTTAGACGTGTATATATGTATAAAAAATTGTTATAGACATGTGTATTTTTGAGAGAGAAACTCACACATCTACAAGTGGAATACCATGGATATTGTCACTGCTTTGGCGAAGATTAAATTATGATGATGGCTAAAGCGTCCGGTCCAGTCAGACGGAAAGATAAATTTCTTGAATAATCTAAATAATTTTGTAAAAGATCGATTCCCCGCATTTTCGTTTTATTTAGAATAGCGTACCTTACATCAGACTTTGATATGAGGTTTAATGGCGAGAAGGCAAATTAGAATAATTCAGTAATATCCTTCGGGTGATCGACATGTCTACATTCACAATTCATTATTGGCTGGACCTCTTTTTCTCTCACTCTCTCTACTCTCTCTCTCTTTTCCTCTCACTCTTTTTCTAAAACCACACACACACACACACACACACACACACACACACACACACATATGATAAAATATATAGTTTTAGGGTATGCTATATTTATGACTAAGTGTTATCAATACCAGAGATAGCACGTATGTATGTATAAAATATAAAAGTGGACAGTGAGGTCAACACAGAGAAGCGACAGTCTGTTTAATCATGTTTATCTTACACAAAATTCAGGGCTCAATGTTTACTTTCAATACTTTTTGGGAATCATATATATATATATATATATATATATATATATATATATATAGTTAATGCTAGTGTTAAATATATATATATATATATAGATAGATAGATAATGTTAGTGGTCTCTCTCTCTCTAAATTTCTCTCTTAAGGAATATATATATACACATACACACACACATTTATATATATATATATATATATATATATATATATATATATATATATATATATATATATATGCAGTGGTAAATATACACACACATATGCAATCATATATCTAAAATATATAAGTATACATACATACATACATATTTGTATAAAAATAATTCCAAGAGGATAGAATCCATGTAAAACTCAATGTCCAGGACAGAGTAAGGATAAAATTAAATTGAGAGAATATATATATATATATATATATATATATATATATATATATATATATATATATATATATTATATATATTTTATTTCGGAGTTGTTCTTTCTGTTTTCTTTTTGAATTTGTAGGGCTGATGATTTGGATCGTATTTACGATTACAATGTAATAAATTATGACCATGGAATATTATTGTTTAAATTTTTTTATTATATATATATATATATATATATATATATATATATATATAGAGAAAGAGAGAGAGAGATATATAGATATATATGGTATATATATATATATATATATATATATATAAATATATATAAAAAATCTATCATATCTACCTATATATATATATATATATATATAATTATGAATGATCAGAAGAAATTTACGCATAACGCACTGCCCAGATATCGACCTTACGGTCTCTTCAGGATACTTGCTTGTGAATAGTTAATCCGTAATCCGTTAATCCACTTACATAGATTGACTAAGCGCCACAAATGAGAAATATCAGAATGATAGGTGTGTGGGATGAGTTGGAAGAATCGGAAGTAAGGAAAAAAGATATTAAATATTTTAAATCATCCGAACTGGTCTAAAGTATATTTCTTAGTATGTCTACATTTTGACATAACCTTTTGTCCAGCTATATCACTATAGCCAGCTTTTCCTCCTGACACAGCCTACAAATATTGCCATTATATCTGTAAGGCTTAATCCAACTTATCCAGTATGTTCCACTTTTTACTGGGGCTTTTACTGCATTTCTTTTTTAAATTCCCACACACTTTTGCCAGCTTTGTACAACGGCTAAGGCCCTAAGACTTATGGTTGTACCACCTTTGTTCTGCCCTCAGAATATTCCTCCTCCGCTTTATATACCACGTTCTCATCAATAAAGCTACCTACCTAAGGACACTTGTTTTGTCCCTACAGTTGCAGGAGATGGCATTAGTGTTGTTGCTCTTTGCGACTGTCTTGAACTTCTTCGTATTATGCTTCTTTATAATACTATCTAGATTACTGGTGCAGCAGTAACTTAGTTTTAATATATATCTATTAAATATTTTTTTGTCGAAGTTTTCGGAAATTGCTAATTTAGCCGCTTGAAAAATATTTTGCCAATATTTGTTTTTACTTCAGTATCTGTCTATATTTCTGAGGTATTATGTACACTATTTACATTATTCGGACTATTGTCCTCATCTTTGCCGCCATATTTATTACAACGTCTCGGCCATTCAGTATCTGTCTATATTTCTGAGATGAGGTATTATGTACACTATTTATATTATTCGGACTATTGTCCTCATCTTTGTCGCCATATTTATTACAACGTTTCGGCCTTTCAGTATCTGTCTATATTTCTGAGATGAGGTATTATGTACACTATTTACATTATTCGGACTATTTTCCCCATCTTTGTTGCCATATTTATTACAAGCATTTCGGCTCTTCAGTATCTATCTATATTTCTGAGATGAGGTATTATATACACTATTTATATTATTCGTTCTATTGTCCTCATATTTGTCGCCATATTTTTCACAACGTTTCGGCCGTTGTACTTTTCGGCCTTCTTCATGTGTCTGGAATGTCGAACTGAAACCTTTATTTCGCTCACTGGGGTAAACTGTTCTAGTTCCCCGTGCCATTTTTAAAAGATGTCAGTTATCAGTTATCTCCTGTTAATTCCGCTCTCTAACTTCTCCACTACCTTAACCGGGTATTGAACTCACACTCTTTGTGTCCTGTCACTGGATCTAACTAACGCCTTTATACACTGTGCCATATGTCTTTGTTTTTACTTCTAAATTAAAAGTGTGTGTAGGGGGTGAACGAAATAATATATCTTCCTGTTTCTGTTTCTTACATGTTGGTTGGGTTGAAGATTGAATTGCCTCTTCTATTACTGTCTCATACAATTTTTTTCTTTAACTCAAAGATATCTTTTGACGAGGAACTTCTTGACAGTCTGAACTCAGTACGCTTCAGGATACAATTAATAAATCCTGGGGGTTGTTGGACTTTATACTTATATATGTTACTCTTATGTTCGACTTCAAGTATGGAGAGACAGTGCCGGCAGCGAGTTTAAATTCAACATCTAAATATTGTATGATCTTTTTTGTTCCTTTCGACTGTAATGCTGTATTTCAGGTCGTGGAAAACCTTGAAGAGCTTCTTCCTGATCTTATCATTGGCCTTTCTATTACCAGATACGTTCATTAGACCATCATCTCTGTAAAGGCCGTGGTTGTCCATATGGGCAGTTTTGTTAATTTTGTTTGATATAAACAGGTCCATAAGCTCAGAAACCCTAGCACCGTCATAAGATCCTTTCGGGACATCAAAGCTGTCTTTCTTTCTTTCTCCACCCAAACATCACCGGCGTGGAATAGGCTGAATATGCAGCAATGTGAGGAGTGAGTGAAGAGTTAGAAGATTCGGAAGTAAGGAAAAAAGATATTAAATATTTTAAATCATCTGGACTGGTCTAAAGTATATTTCTTATCTTAAGACTTTTTATGTTTATACGTTTTTTTCTTTATAGATACAAATATTTAAGTAAATGATATGTTTATAATAAACAGTATTAACGACATTTACCGGCCAGAATGTCCTAGAAAATATGTGTCCTCCGACAGGAATCGAACCTGTATCCTATACAGACCTGTCATATAGACTGGCGCGTTTACCAATTGAGCCACGGAGAACCGTTTCGGTTAGCAACGTCGATTTTACTGCTTTTAAACGACAATTCTCCATGATTTTCTCTCGTACATTTATATCTGCTCGATGCGTATCCAAATGTAAACAAATTATGTCACACATTATGAAATGGACAAAGTCCGACAATTATTTTAAGACATTTTTATGTTTATACATTCTTTTTATAGATACAAATATTTAAGTAAATGCTCTGTTTATAATAAACAGTATTAAACAACATTTACTGTCCTGAATGTCCGAGAAATTTTCATAGAAAATATGCGTTTTGGGTGTAGGGATATTCTTACGTGAATGTTTTGCCATGACTAAATTGAAGCACGAAGAGAAAAGATTTTTAAATCAGAATTTTCGGACACACCCGTGTCCTTTTTCAATGAGACGAGGATTAAACAAAGAAGTGGCACTCACTCTTCATAGGAATGCTTTCGTTGTTGGTCACACATTTACGGGTTAATCAGGGATTTAGGTTTACTCAGAGAATATAATTTCCACAGGGAACCCACTAGACAACGACATTCCTCGGATGAGTGAATCCCACTTCTTGGCTAATACCTCGGCTCGTTGAAAAAGGACACAGGCGTGTCCGAATTTTCCGACTTTAAAATCTTTCTTGTTATGCATCAATTTCGATGACGGGACAGGAAATAGTCGTAGTTTCTATTTCAGGGGATTTTTTTTCTAGCCTATTATATTACTGAATAGATGTAGTAGTTTTGGGATAGTTGTTTATCACAAGTTGGGTTGTAGAGGGATTTTAGAAGTCTTTATGTTAAAACTGTATACTCTGACTAAGCCTAAATTCATGATTAATTCTAGCATGTGTGAATTTATTTTTAAAATGTATTTCCGAAATTACGAACAAAATTTAGAAAATAAAAAAATAGACACACTATGTCCAAAGAAAAATATGAATTATTAAAGTTTTTTTCTTGGGCTACCTTTATTAAAGTAGTTTCCTTCTTGAAAAATTGAAAATGTTGGCATCTAAAACCGGGTTTCATAGTCGGAGAGCGAATGTGCTAAAAAGTCGGCCATATTTATAGTTTAGGTTACAGACATATAAATATTGCCGGGGGTCTTAAGAAAGATATTAACCTAAACCAAAAACAACATATAACGCTATAAGGTAATGAAAATCAATCTTGACAGTTGCGACAAAGTTGTGAAAAGGTCAGAGAATATTCACAGAAGAAATAAGAACTTCTAAAAGGTAAGAACAAGAAAAAAAATGGCGCTAAAAATGTCACAAAGAGAGATTCTTGAATAATAAACATGGAAACTGAAATGAAGAGAAGGAAATGTTTGAAGATACTGTTATGGCGAATCTAAAAAAGACGGAGAATGTCATACATTCAGATCATTGCTTAAAGGCATGAAATCAAATCAACCAGCTGTGAGCAAAAATTACAAAGAGAACCATTTGAGAAAAGAAGTACATGAAAATTGATTTATCGATATTTATTTTTCTTGATGAATGTAGAGCTACATTGGATTGACTCGACGGTTCAGTTTTCAAGAACACAAAAAGCTCAACAGAGATAGAAGTCTGACACAAAACGTAAACATCAAACTGAAAGCAGGAGTATACGAATATGCAATGTTGTTGTCCCTGATCTGGCACCTCGTTTACAGTCACTCCCTCACAGATGTGCCGTCGCCTCCCTCTGTCTTTTCTACAAATACTTTCAAGGTAACTGCCCTGACGAACTATTTTCGCTAGTTCCCAAATAGCAAGAATTTAACCATGCCACTAAGTCGGCATCTCTCAGTCTTATCATTTCACTGTCGAAACGGTTAAATGTAGCCGTCTGTTCTACTCCAGTAGTTTCATGTCTCGCACTTCCCATCTGTGGAACTCCCCTCCTTTTACTTGCGTCCCTGATAGCTATAAACTCCAACTATTCAAATGCAATGTCAATCGACATCTCCAGATGTATTGATCTGTTCTCCGTCATCCTATCCTCTTTCACGCCTCTTTACTCTTACTCTCAATCCTCTGTAACCCCTTGGGTGCTAGTGGCACTCCCGCCTTGATTGGGGTGAAACGTTAAAAAAAAAGAAAAGAAAAAGTAAACTCTTTTGCCATGGCTAAAGATTTTGCGCAATAGAACCATCCTCAGACGGTTCCTATATTTACAACAAAGTAGGTTTTTTTTTTTTTTTTTAGATATTTTTATGGGTTTGATATGTCCCGGAAAAGAGATATATTTGATCGAAGTACCTAAGTGGTTTTGACTACTGTAAACGAGTAGAACAATCTAGCAGGTAGCAGTGGGAGAACTGGTACTCGTCATAGTCGCAGTCAATAGGTGTAGGCAATAGGCGTAGACCAATAAGATAGCCAATGGCGTAGCCCAATGGACGTCGTCCTCTACATCAGCCTGTATTTATGGCTGACACCAGCCAATTATATTCCTGTGAGGGGGAATACAGGTCCTACTTTGAATATTATTTGAGGCGGTTCCTCTCGCTTCCACCATGATCGTTGGTGCTCCACAATCTTACAGACGATTTATTTTCGTCTCCTGGCATCGTTCTCTCAAAAAAAGTAACCTTTAGTTCCATGCTTTCCAGTCAACTATGACTAAAAAAATGTAAATGCAATGTCAATCGCTATCTACTGTCATGCTTGGAATATCGCTGTCCTATATGGTTCGGTGATATTTAACGGGTTCCAAATTAAAATCAGTAATATTATTGGTCCTGATCTGGCTGTTCGGCTTCAGTCATTTTCACACTGCCTCTCTGTGTCTTTTCTACAAATAATTACATGGTAATTGTTCAAATGAGCTCTTCGCTGTGTAAATATCGATTTACAGTTGTGCTGGCTAGATGTAGCCGGAAGTTCTATGCTAACAGTTTCTTCTCTCATACAGGCTTGTGGAACTCCCCTTCGGTTTCATGTTTTCCAGCCAACTTTGATCCTCAAAAGATTAAATGCAATGCCAATTGCTATCAAGTGTCCTCGTGATTACTCATCTTTTTTTTTTCTCGTCCCTTATTATTGTTTCTGCTTTCTAATTCTGCCAAACCCAGTAACACGTTTTGTCTTAGTGGCTTTACGCCCTTGATTGGGGTGAACACGATTTAAAAAAAAAAAAAAAAAAGAAAAAAGTTTCTTCACGTTACTGAAATGAATTGCAGATGGAAATCTGTTGGACGAGCTTAGCTATATTTACTTGATGGAGAACCCAAAACTTCTTGCATGCTGATTGGTTAACAAAATTCGATTTGGATATTTGGAAAATATCTGCGATGGATCTGAGCTTAGAACGAGGTTTTGTGTCGACTCATGCCTTATTTTTCTTTGCTAAGCACTGTTAGCCGGCCAGAGGGACTTGCATTATAAACCGAAAAAAAAAAAATTCCCGATGGAAAATCTTGAAAGCCACATTTGGTGTATATATTCCGTAACAGTGTCACTCTCCATACAGAGCGCACATCTTCCTGCAGGTTTTCGGTCGCTTTCTTGACTTTTTGAAAAAAAACAAAAAAAACGTGAGGTTTCAATAATGTTCGTTTTGCTTCTCTATTTTCAAGGATATCCAAAAACACATAAAATACAACCTGTCTCTTCGCTAGTTCGCGAGTAAATACGTAAAAATGTTAAGTATATAACAAGTGCACAGGCGCAGGGGACAGACTTAAATTCGTTACTTTTTCGAGTCCATGAAATTTAGTTACAACAGAAAGCGAATATATATATTTTCATATAAAAAATATCCGATTAAATTAAATTGAGAGAATATATATATATATATATATATATATATATATATATATATATATATATATATATATATAATTTTATTTTTATTACAGGAGTTGTTTTTTTGTTTTCTTTTTTTTTGAATTTGTAGGTCTGATGAATTGTATGGAATTTAAGATTCCAATGGAATAAATTATGACCATGGAATATTAGTGTCTAAACCTTTTTATTATATCCTTACTCTGTCTTGGACATTGAATTCTACCTGGATTCTTCCTCTTGGACTTTTTTTTTATTCAAAAATATATGTATGTGTATGTATGTGTGTGTATATTTATATATTTTGTATATGTATGTGTATTTTACCACTAATATTCTATATATATATATATATATATGAAAAGTGAATATAAATATAAATAAATATATATATATGTATAATTATTTATATATTATATATTACTTATTAGAAAAGCTCAATATCAGAGATAGAGCTAACATATTATATATATATATATATATATATATATATATATATATATATATATATATATGTATGAACATTAAAGTCAGCACTCAGAGGCGACAGGCTGTTTCATGCGTCAAGCAAGTATCAGCCAGTCGCCCTGGAAAGTCTTGACTTCAATGTTCCCTTCTATATTTACACACGCTCTATCTCTGATATTGAGTACTTTATCCCATAAATATGGCACACCTTAAGAGTATATTTCTTTATCTATCTATCTATCTATCTATCTCTCTCTCTCTCTCTCTCTATATATATATATATATATATATATATATGTGTGTGTGTGTGTGTGTGTGTGTGTGTGTGTGTGTGTGTGTGTGTGTGTGTGCGTGTGTGTGTGTGTGTGTGTTTGTGTGTCGGCGTGTGTGTTTGTTAATTTAAGTTCTTAGAAAATTAAGATAATTACAGCATCTTATAACTTACTATCTATCAATCCATTGCCCTCTCCATCTCTCTCTACTTCCTTTCTCTCCTCCCCCCCCCTCCTCTCTCTCACTCTGCATATATATATATATATATATATATATATATATATATATATATATATATATATATAATAGAGATGTCAAAGGTAGCATGAATACAAACATGCTGACAGGAATACTGAGAAAGGAGACATCTATCTATCTATCTATCTATCTATCTATCTATCTATCTCCCTACATTTAAATCTGCTTCACTTTTCATATCTATCCATCTATCTATCTATGTAAGACTATTCATTATATATCTATCTAAATCCTATAACATCCATCTGTCTATGTTCATATAAATCTGCTTCAATCTTTTCATATCTATCTTTCTATCTATCTAAAACTGTTTATGTGTCTAAATCTGAAAATATCTATCTCTGTACATATAAATCCGCTTCACTTTTCATATCTATCTATCTATCTATCTATCTATCTATCTCTGTACATAAAAATCTGCTTGACTTTTTCTATCTATCTATCTATCTATCTATCTATCTATCTATCTATCTATCTATCTATCATTGTATTTTAGATCTGTCTGTTTGTCTGTCTGTCTGTCTATCTATCTATCTATCTATCTATCTATCTATCATTGTATGTTTAGATCTATCTGTCTGTCTATCTATCTATATATCTATCTATCTATGTACATGAAAATCTTTTTGACTTTTTCTATCTATCTATCTATCTATCTATCTATCTATCTATCATTGTATGTTTAGATCTATCTATCTATCTATCTATCTATCTATGTATCTATCTATCTATTTTTCTATCTATCTATCTATCTATCTATCTATCTATCTATCTATCTATCTATCTATCTAACATTGTATGTTTAGATCTATCTATCTATCTATCTATCTATGTACATAAAAATCTACTTGACTTTTTCTATCTATCTATCTATCTATCTATCTATCTATCTATCTATCTAACATTGTATGTTTAGATCTATCTATCTCTCTATCTATCTATGTACATAAAAAATCTATCTATTTTTCTATCCATCTATCTATCTATCTATCTATCTAACATTGTATGTTTAGATTGTCTCTATCTATTCAAACCATCTAACTATCTTCTACTGTATCTATGTCTCTATCTATTCAAACCTATTAATATTTTTTTTTAATATACATCTATATAAGCTTGCTCATATCTATCTATCTATCTATCTATCTATCTATCT